GATCTCGTAAACGAAATCTCTCGTCTTCTAAGCGATCACAGAAACCCAAAAGACGATCTCGAACACAAACTCGTCCTCTACTCTCCTCGAATCTCATCGAATCTAATCGAACAAGTCTTGAAACGCTGCAAAAATCTCGGCTTTTCTGCTCATAGATTCTTTCTCTGGGCAAGAAAAATCCCAGATTTTGAACATAGCTTAGAAAGTTTTCACATTTTGGTTGAGATTTTGGGTAGTAGCAAGCAATTTGCTCTGCTTTGGGATTTTTTAATCGAAGCTAGAGAGTATAATTACTTTGAGATTAATTCTAAAGTGTTTTGGATTGTTTTTAGAGCTTATAGTAGAAGTAATTTACCCGGTGAAGCGATTCGAGCTTTTAATCGAATGGTTGAGTTTGGGATTAAGCCAGAGATTGATGATCTTGATCAGCTTTTGCATTCGCTTTGCGATAGGAAACATGTGAATAAAGCTCAGGAGTTTTTCGATAAAGCGAAGCTTGGGATTGGGATTGCGCCGAGTGCGAAGACGTATAGTATTTTGGTTAGAGGATGGGCGAAAATACGAGACGCGTCGGGTGCGCGTAAGGTGTTTGATGAAATGCTTGAGAGGAATTGTCTAGTGGATTTGCTTGCTTATAATGCTCTTTTAGACGCTTTGTGTAAATCAGGTGATGTTGATGGAGCTTATAAGATGTTACAAGAAATGGGTAAGGTTGGACTTAAACCAGACGCGTATAGTTACGCGATATTCATCCACACGTACTGCGACGCGGGGGATGTTCATTCAGCTTATAAGGTTCTTGATCGGATGAAAAGGTACGATCTTGTACCCAATGTGTACACGTATAACCATATCATCAAGACACTATGCAAGAACGAGAAAGTCGATGATGCGTATTTACTGTTAGATGAGATGATTCAACTAGGGGTTAATCCGGATACTTGGACTTACAATTCGATAATGGCTTATCACTGCGATCACTGTGAAGTGAATCGAGCGACAAAGCTGATTTTGAGAATGGATAGAACAAAGTGTTTACCGGATAGACACACTTACAATATGGTTCTTAAATTGCTTATAAGGATAGGGAGATTCGACCGTGCGACAGAGATATGGGAAGGAATGAGCGAAAGAAAGTTTTATCCGACGGTTGCTACTTATACCGTTATGATTCATGGATTAGTAAGGAAGAAAGACAAATTAGAGGAAGCTTGTAAGTACTTTGAAATGATGATTGATGATGGGATTCCACCGTATTCGACAACGGTTGAAATGTTGAGGAATCGATTAGTCGGTTGGGGACAAATGGATGTTGTCGATGTTTTGGCGGGGAAGATGGAGCGAAGTAGTTCTTGTTCGGTTAGAGAAATGACGATTGAGATGAGAGGGAAGAGAAGGAGAGTTGGACGTAGAAGTGCAGATAGTGAAGATGATGATTCGGAGCTTGAAAGAGTTGTATGAGAGAAGAAGTTACATTGTGAACATTTGAATAATCTTTTTAATAAATTTAATTAGAAGCCTCTAAATAAAGAAGAAGGTCCAAAGTTTTTTTTTTCCCCGGAGAAGTTCTCTGATGAAACAGAGTTTTTTTTTGCCACCGACTAAGAAAGTTTGAAGCTTTATAGATCTAAAGACACTAACAAATTCCGATCTGAAATTGAATTGCAAAACCCATCAAAATGATTGCATCTCCGGTGAAACCACTCTTCGTTTTCATCTTCACTTTCTCTCTTCTCCTCGCCGTGATTCTTCTATCTCCGTCGCCAAATTACCTACAGATTCCGGTTCCTTCCGGTTCATCAGTGTAATTGTTTCGTCTCTGTAATTCTCTAATCGAAAAATGTTGTCTTTTTGGCTGTAAAAGTTGAAAGAAATAAACAGAAATTTGATTTGTGTTCTCTGTTATAGGGGTTCTGATATATGGAGTGTCAAAAGGATAGTTGAATGGAGACCTTGCAAATGGTGGTTACAAGGACATCTCACTCGTATGTTTTTGTCATTCTCTTAATTTTTTAGAGTTCAAAAGATTTCAATTTTGTGTTCAGTGAAAAGATTCTGTGATGGATTTGAGTTTAAAGATTTCACTTTTATGAAATGAAGCAGATTTGATGTAAAGGTATAGTTGGTTATGGAGATTATTGTTTGGATTAGCCGTTGATTCACTTGAAAGCTTGGGTTTGGTATGAAAAGAGAAGACTTTTTTTTGTTTTTGTATCTGGGAGGAATGTAGATAGCTTGTAGTGAGTTTTTACTTCTCTGAACTTTGGTGATCGGTCTTCATTGCAGACAACTGCTTTGGTTTTTTGTTCAAATCCTGCAGCTCTACCAGCTAAAACTAATGGATACATTCGCGTTGATTGCTATGGTGGTTTGAATCAGATGAGACGCGATGTAAGTTTGAAAGAAAAGGCTGTTTCGTGAATGAGTTTATCCCATGAAGATTTCGACTTGCATTGTTTATGCTTTGGGTTATAAATGATACGATGATGTAATGCTGCTTGCAGTTGTGTGATGGAGTTGGGATTGCTCGTTTGTTGAATGCTACACTTGTTCTGCCTAAGTTTGAGGTAGCTGCATATTGGAACGAGTCAAGGTACTCGCGCTTTCTCTTGAGAATCAAAGCTAATATAGCGATTTCAATTGTGTTTTGTTGATTTGATGAGGAAGAGAAATAATATCAGTAATATATTGGTGCAGTGGATTTGCAGATGTGTTTGATGTCGACTACTTTATTCAAAAGATGAGTGGTTTTATCGAAGTTGTAAAAGAATTGCCAAAAGATATTGCATCAAAAGAACCATTCAAAGTAGATTGTAGCAAAAGGAAAGGTCAATTTGATTACATTGAAAGTGTTCTTCCATCATTGTTGGAACATCATTACATTTCTTTTACACCGGCAACGAGCCAACGCAGGGACAGGTGCCTTTCTAATATCCTTTGTCCTGTACTTGTTCGTTCTGGAGTTTTCGAGTTTCTTACACTTCTACTATGATACAATGCACTTTCAGGTATCCCCAGTATGCAAAAGCCACTCTATGTCAAGCCTGTTATTCAGCTTTACGCCTAACTAGCTCCTTGGAGAAGAAAGCCATCGAGCTTTTAGATGCTATTCCTAAACCCTTTGTGTCACTTCACCTCAGATTTGAACCAGACATGGTAGCGTACAGCCAATGCGAATACCCAAACCTCTCTCCTTCATCTATCGCTGCCATTGAAGCTGCTCGTGTTGACAGGAAGCCATGGACTGGAGAACTAGCTCAGATATGGAGAAAGCGAGGCAAATGCCCTCTGACTCCTAATGAAACGGCTTTGATGCTTCAGTCACTTAACATCCCAACAAGCACAAACATATACTTAGCAGCTGGAGACGGTCTAATGGAGATGGAAGGATTCACATCCGTTTATACAAATGTGTTCACAAAGTCTGTTCTACTTAACCAGGAGGATTTTACCAGAATGCATGGAAACACAAAAGCTGCATTGGATTATCATGTGTCCATCAACAGCGACGCATATGTGGCTACTTACTTTGGAAACATGGATAAAATAGTTGCAGCAATGCGAGCATATAAACAGATGCATAATACTCTGTTCCTGAGCAGAAAAGCGTTTGCAGAACTCACTTCTCAGGGGCTTGAAGGGGAAGAGTTGAAGAAAGCTCTATGGGAAGTTCATAAAAACGATTTTGCAATTAGTAGAGGTTTTGCTTTGCCCGACTGCTTCTGTGAATTTGAGCTGTAATGCTGATTCTTTTGTTACCCCCATTCTTGAATTTGACACAACATTTGTAACAACAACAATTTGTTCATGTACTACGCATGAGATGCTCCTGTTTGCAAATACAAGAAAGTAGTACACATTCTGAGATCAGTTTCTTGTCTTCATTCAGTAGCAAACCATATCTCTATCTTACTGAGATTCTACAACTCTCAGATTCTAGGTGTCAACCATTGCATGCAAAATGGTTGAAGCCTCAGAGATCACTGCTTGAGGTAAGTGTCGCTCTAAAACACGCGAATACTCAACAGCTACCTCAAGACCCTTTTCGTCCAGATTACAACCCGTGTGCCTCCATTGCTTCGAGCTCCCCACAACACAAAAACCATGTAAAATAGCAGCAAATGAAACAGGATCAGGAGAGAAGCCTTTCTTCACCATCCTATCCTGAAACCTGCAAGCAGTCTTCACCATTCCATGTACAGAGAGACCAACGAGGACAGAATTGTAAGCAGCAGCGTGGTTCGACCACCCATCCAATTTCATTCTATAGAAAAACTCGAAAAACAGAGAACTGTGTCCCTCGTTAAACCCATTTGGTTCAGCAAGAACTTTTCCAGATGTGTTCTTCACAAATCCCTCAAGTAGACAATTGAAGGTAACTTCATTAGGTACACAGTTGTTTCTCAACATAAGCTCCCAATAGTAAACTGCTTTCCCGAGGGTACTACCATCTTTAGCAAAACTTCTTATGAATGTTGTGTAGGTGACAACGTTAGGCACAAGGCCACATGATTGCATCTCTTTGAAAGTCTCTTCAGCCATTTTGAAATCCCCTTGGCAGCAAAATCCATTAACAAGAGATGAGTAAGTTACCACGTTGGGCTTACATTTACTTTTACCCATGTCTCGAAAAATCTTTATGGCCATAGCCATATCCTGTTGCTTTACATATCCGTCGATGATGGTGGAATAAGTGAACTCATCAGGTACAAGATTTTCTTCAGTCATCCTGTTCATGCATATCAATGCCTCGTTCAACATTCCAGATCTGCAAAACCCCTTTATCATAGCATTATGGTGCACGACATCAACCTTCACACCCTTTTCAACTGAGAGAACGAAAATCTTCCTTGCCTCATCAAAATCACCATTTCTGATGAATCCATCTATGAGTGTAGCATAAACATAAGCATCTGGTGAAATATTCTGGTCTAGCATCTCCGAGAAGAGGAGTTTAGAAGGTAAAAACTTACCACTCTTGCACAATCCACTCATCAACATATTGTAGATGGCAGCATCCGGTGATACTCCTCTATCTACCAATTTAACTTTCATCTCAATTGCAGCATCCATATGGCCTGAAACAACAAGGCCATGGATAAGAATTCCATAAGCAACTATATCTGGTTTGCATCCTCTTTCAGCCATCTGTAGAAGCAACTTAGAGGCAATATCATACTCTTTGATCTTGCAATAGGCTTGTATTAGAGGAGAATAGCTTATATTGTTCGGAGTCAACCCTTTCTTCGATGCTTCATCCAAAAGCCTAACAGCATCTTCCATTTTTCTTTCTTTACACAAACGATTGATCAAAATGTTATACGTTGCTAAATCAGGCTTGCAACCATTAGCTACTATCCATCGTATACTTTCAGCTGGTTCAACTTTAGTACCGTGCCTATACTTAGCATCCATAATGTTGTTAAGGAACCGAACACTAACTATCAAACCCCTTTCTTTCACTTCCCTCAAAAGTTGATCACTCGCCACGAAATCCCCTTTCTTGCAGTACCCGTTTATCATGGTACCAAAAGTTTCCAAAGTTGGCATAAACCCCTTAGATTTCAACTCCTTGAAAACTAAATTCGCATTTTCAACATCACCAATCTTCCAATATCCACCAATGATCGTATTGTAAAACACAATATTCGGAACGCAACCTTTCCCCCATCGATCTTCAATCAATTTCCTACCTTCTTCTACTTTCCCTTCACTACACATACCTTTAAGCAATATACAAGTACTGTAATTATCAACACAACCACCTCTCTCAAACATTTCATCATACATCTTCCGTGCATCACCAAGTCTCCTACTTTTCACAAACAAACTCAACAACGAATTACAAGCAATCACATCAGGCACAGAACCATACGATTCAACCACATAATTATAAACCTCCACAGCTTTACTCAATAGCCCAGATTCAGCATAAGCATGAAGAACATGACTCAAAGCTTCATGAGTAATCTTCACATTTTCCTTTCTGAGATTTCCCAACACATCTTCAATCTCACTAAAGACCCTATGCCTCGCTAATAGCTTCAAAAACGAAGAACAAGCAAACCCATTTGCGAAAAACTCATCTTTTCTCCGATTCGATAGCCAATCAAACAGCTTGACTCCGATTTCCACATCTTGGATTCGATCGAAAACGAAAGGAGAAATCTCGACGAGACGGAGTTCTTCTTCATCGTCGAGGAACTGAGACCAGTTTTGTTGGGTTTTGAGTATGTTAACAATGTCGGTTACTTGCTTCTTGATTCGTGAAGTTATCGGAAAATGAGATCGAGGAGGATTGGTAAGAGGTTTGATGCGAGAGAGAAGGGTTTTCGACATTAGAGAAGACTGTGAATTGGTTTAACCTCGTCAACGTCTTTGATAAAGAAGAGAAAGTCCAAGCCAAATTATTTTCACAAAGGTCCTCTTATTTTAACCATTAGTGAATATCTACCTAA